TTGTTTTTCAACCTGAAACATTTAATATATGTAAAAATATATGGTTTTAAAAAACGTTTTAAAATGGTATGCCATTTCATATTTCTCATCTAACAAACATGTTGTCTGACTGCTTGAGGGTTACGTTTGTACCATTCGAACTTCACGCTTACAATTCCTTCAATTGCATTCAAAATATCGGAGTCGGAGTCAACCATTTGTTCTCTCTTTGTAGTCTTGAAAGCGTCAAGAAGCATTGCAGCTGTTGTGACATTGCCATGTGAGTAGTATATATGACCATCTAAATCTGTTACGGTTAGTCTGAGATTGTATCCTTTCTTATTTCCGTCTTGAATGGCAGCAAGTACACCCATGAAGCCTTCTTTGTTCTTTCCTTCGTCAAAGTTTACTGTAAAGGTTCGACCAGATGTAATTTTACTTCTAACTTCACGATACTTTTCATATGCATATCTTGTTCTTTCCATGGGAGCATGTGAGTCTTCACCTTTTCCTTTTTTCCTTCTCAAAGGATGCAATTGTTCGTCATGTTTCCAGTAGAATCTGGCAAAGCCGTCGTGTCCTTCAACTTGAGGTTCACTAACATCGAAAGGCATGTCCATAAGACGTTCTTCTTCTAACCTCTCTAATCTGTTTGGATAGTTTGCGCGTGCTGTTTCTAAGTCCATTTCGTAGCGAAGACCAGACAATTTGTCATAGACTTTTATGGGTCTTCCCTTCCTATATTTAAACTTCTTCGAAACTCTCCAACCATATCTTTCTAACTCTGCTTTTATTCTAGCAGATTTTCTATCCATTCTATATGGGGGCATTTTTATAAAAATAAAAAAATATATTTTTCCTTTACTTAACATAACCACCAGCTACCATAAGTCTTTGACGCCAACCCATACCAGCTAATGAAGGTTGACTTTTAGTATTGAAACTAACCTTTGGTTTTGGTTTTTCTTCAGTTTGTGGCTTCCCTTCTTCTATTGGTTTTTCGTCACTTTTCGGTTCACCTGACTTTACCTCACTTGCAGGTATGGTTGTGTCGTTAGTATCTTCGTAAATATCATATGCCATCTGTTTTTGTTTTCCTTTCAACTTTTTGTGTTTGTTGTAAAGTTTAGAATATTTTGACTCTAAGTCAATGAGATGTTCTATAATGAACTGTTGGTCGGTGAAGAATACCTTCCCATCTGTTGTCTCTTTAACTCCTTCAGACTTCAATATTTTATTTGTGAGAGTCTGTTTCTTTTTTGAGATACTAGCCGTTCCATTTCTATGAAAAGTGACTTTGTAGTTAGGGTTTGTATTTCCAGACCTGGCACTTTCTATTATTGAATTTTTCTCTTCATCTGTAAGTTCTTTGACAGGTTTTGACAATGGTTCTGAACTTTTTGTTTGTGGTGTCAAATCTACCGTTTCAACTTCTTCGGTCATTTCATCTCAGTAAAAATTTTAGTTTGTTTTGTTTTCAACTGGTTGTTTAGGTTTTTTAAGTCGGTCTAAAACTTCTTGAGGTATAGGAAGAACTTGACAAACACGTGGTTGTGTAACTGCTGGAAGCCGACAAATCCATCTTGAGCCCATTTGTCTCAATGCTGTATTGTTCATTTCATCTCAGTAAAAAACTTTACATTCCCCACGTTTGAGGCGGTTGAGGTTGGTTATTGTTTACCCACTGTTGTGCATGGTTATATCCTCTGTTAAAGAATCTTTCACCTTGGTCCATATAGTGTCCTGCTTGGTTATAGTAGTCATTTGCTTTGTTATAATAGTTTCCTGCTTGTCTTCCTACATTGTCCATCCATCCTTGAACTTTTCCTCTTGTTTCAGGATTTGGAATAAGATTTGCTGCATCTCGTGCTACATCCCAACCTTTCTGTACAGTTTGTATAATAGGTTGTGCTTTCTCTTTAAGTATACCTAATGTACTCAAAATCTTCCTTCCAATTCCAAATGCACCTCTGGCTATTGTTCCCACTGCGGGCAAAAATCTAGATGCAACTCCTGCTAACGCGCCAAATAAACCCATTTCTTATGGGTTAAAAAATGACGAATCCAAACAAGGACCCCTATGTTTCTAAAGCAACAAAGAAAGCACTCATGGTAAAAATCTTTAGTTCAACACCAAATGCTTGGTTTATGGATATCTTGGAAAACATTCCGAGATATAGAGAAGATGGACCACCATACTGGCTAATATTTGTCGGTCAAAACACAAGATACTGTGAAGCTATACCATTACAGTCCAAAAATATTTTAGATGTAAAAACTGCTTTGACAATATTCGTTGACAAATACCATCCAACAAAACTGACATCTGACTGTGAAAGTTCTTTCAAATCAGACGATATTAAAAACTATCTGCGTTCAAAAAATGTAAACCAATATTTCATTGTCGACCAAAACCATTCTGCTCTTGGTGTCATTGACAGTTGTATAAAAATCTTAAGAGACTTAAATCAACCACAAGGTGGTGAGGTAGATGAAATGTCATATGACGACAAATATAGACATTTCTCCATGGCAAAGATGAGACAAGTTTTAAATATTTACAATAGCCGTAAACAAAAAGGTTTGGGAAACCACTCCCCCGAAGAAATGAAAAACAACCCTGACTTAGAGAAAGACTATATATTTAATAGTTTAGTCAAAAGAGACAAACAAGAAAGAATGCCAGGCTTCAAACTTAAGAAAGGTGACAAAGTAAAAATAGAAATACCTAAACGCGACCCATATGAAAATACTATTGACTATGACAACAACAAGTACCCGACAGGTACTCGCATTCGTGTTCGTAAAAATAGAAGAAAGTATACAAGAGAATATTATGAAGTTTTAGGCAAACATGGCAAAATGTACACACTGCAAGCAGAAGATAAAACGACTATTGTCAGACCTCGTTTCAAACTTGTCAAAGTTCAAGGTGGTATACTTTCAAAGACAGTTCCTAACAAATATAAGACAACTCCTGACGAATATGCTAAAGAAGTTGAAAATGACGACTAAGCAATTCTATACCATGCGTAAACTGTCATGTAAGGTGGCATATATTCTTTACTTTGTCCCGTTGTTTGTGTATATCCTGTAACGCGATGTGTATGGCTTCCTCCTCCCTGAGTGTCATCCCAGTAACAATTTATAGCAAACTTAACGTCGTCTTTAACATCATATCCTTTACCTTTTGTCATTCCTGTCCAATCCCAATATCTATGCTTATGCCAACCTGCTTGAGATGTACTTAAATCTATGTAGTGACTGTGTGCAGGTAAATTTTCACCTGAAATCGTTTTACTTCCACCTGTTTCCTTTGAAGAGTTTGCACAATACAAAAACCTGTCGACTATTTGTTCCCATGCACCAACACCAAACATTACTTGAGGACTTCTTGCTTCCATAGATGTATAAATAGAACCTACTGGGTTCATTAAATCAAACATATGAGATAATATAGGATTGTCTCTTTTGAACTTAAAATATAGTGTAACTATTTCAGGTTTCTTCTGGTTTGTGTCAGAATATTTTTTATAATATAATCTTATGTTTTCAGGGTAGGTAAAATCTTGACTATAATATTTATTTCTGTCATCTGTATAATAATATACTATTCTCGTTTTTTCTATTGCATTATATCTTTTATATCTATAATATTCTAAATATAATGTTTGCTTTTTTGGGTCTACACGTGCGTCAACACCATAGTCATAATAATATGGTGCTGGAGCTGGGTCAGGCAATGTCATATCTGCCATTTCATAAACTCTTAAATATTTCTTTTGTTCGTCTCCATATAAGTTTAAGTAGCAGTTGTTGTCTAATGGAACTTTAACTTGTGTACCATCATTCTTTATATAGCCTACATACATTTCATTGTTATTTTTCGGAATGAGTTTATACCGTATACCATTTTTTAAGGAGTGTACAAACTCCCATCTAAAATATTTGTTTTCTTCATTGACAGAAAAGTCACCAACAATAGTTTCAATATTTTTTGTTCCAACTAAACTTTGGTATATTTCATTGACATATGTTTTATCTGCTTTCTTTTCAAGGCTAACGTTTAAGTCTGTTATTTCAGAAGATGTATGTGTATGTCCAACGTCACTTTTCCTGTTTAAGGTTTCTTGTAAGTTTGTAATATTTGCAATGGTATGTGTATGTCCAACGTCACTTTTCCTGTTTAAGGTTTCTTGTAAGTTTGTAATATTTGCAATGGTATGTGTATGTCCAACGTCACTTTTCCTGTTTAAGGTTTCTTGTAAGTTTGTAATATTTGCAATGGTATGTGTATGTCCAACGTCACTTTTCCTGTTTAAGGTTTCTTGTAAGTTTGTAATATTTGCAATGGTATGTGTATGTCCAACGTCACTTTTCCTGTTTAAGGTTTCTTGTAAGTTTGTAATATTTGCAATGGTATGTGTATGTCCAACGTCACTTTTCCTGTTTAAGGTTTCTTGTAAGTTTGTAATATTTGCAATGGTATGTGTATGTCCAACGTCACTTTTCCTGTTTAAGGTTTCTTGTAAGTTTGTAATATTTGCAATGGTATGTGTATGAGTCTTTTTAGAATATTCGTTTTCAGCTCTTGTCACTTCACTTGACATTTTATTGTCAACATATGTTTTGTCTGCTAGTTCAGGATGAGTATGTTCTTTTGTTGCATAAGCATTGTTAGCTCTTTCTTCTTCTTTTGCTATTGCATCGTCTACATACTCTTTGTCAGCTTTGTTGTCAACATCTGCTTTCAAAAGAAGTTCATCTATAGGTTTCTCGTTTAAAGTTCTTTTTGTTGGATTTATACAAACAGTATGGTTCTTATTGTCTTGAAACAGAAACTCATCTGTCATTGGGTTTAATGTCAGTTTTAAGTTTCCTTCTTTCAATGACTCAGATATCTTAGAATAGTTTGAAAAGTTTGTTGTGTTCTTATTTAGAGCTTGCAAAATGAGTTGTCGGTTGTGTTGTATTTCTCTCATAGACGCTGTTTCTTTCGACATTTTTATTCTAGATAAAATATGCTTTCAATAGAAAAAGAAAATTCAAGAGTTGCTACAACTAAACCATTAGATGAACTTTTTACGAATGTCGGTCAAAAGTTTGAGACAGAGACCGTAAAGCATGAAGGCTATCGTTTTGACTACCCACTAAGATGGTTAAGAGACCCATCCGTCACAAAAGCTATTGGCTTTCGTAGAATGAAGTTCATTTCAGAAGCCATACATGGTTTCCCATTTACGGTCGCTTTTGAAGTTCGATACTATAACAAAGAAAAACGTACGTATGAGAAATTTGAACAGGGAAAACTTTTACAAGTGAATTTGCTTGTAAACTTAGAAACAACTCTTCAAGCTTTTCAAGAAAAAAAAACGATATCTATCTCGAATATGCAAAACAGTACAACATTGACGAAGGAGAGTACCATCTCGATATTATATATGACAGGAAAAATGCAACTGTTAAAATCAATAGAATAGAAGACCTTGGAGAAGACGTTTATATTTCTACAAAATATAACAACTTGGCATGGTATAGATTTTTGAGGATGTTAAATCAGCCTGCAGAATATCCAGTACACCCGAACTTTTATGAAGTCGAAAACCCTAATGGAACATATGAAAATGTTTTCGACTCAGATGCTATTATAGTTCATGCTTCATTTTCTGGTGCACAAAACTCTTTCTTATGCTTGGCAAATGACTTTTACGAAAAACCTACAAAGCTATATGAACCACCAAGTGGAAGTATTTCAGACTTTCAAGTATGGTTTACTACAGATGGAAGAAAGAGAATAATTCCATTATACCACGCGTTTTACTTAGAACTTAGTTTCATATACAACTACTATCGAACGGTAAAAATATAATTTTTTAATACGGTTGAGGTGTTGGATTTGGTTGCCAACTAGACTGTGGTGCAGGTTCAGGCTGTTGTATAACAGGAGCTTGTTCTTCTGGTTCAGGGTCTTTAGGTATAATACCAACGAACTGACCTACTCTTTTACCAATATTTTTGACTCCGTTCCAAATTCCTCTTCCTACGGTTTTTATTCCATTCCATATACCTCTTCCAACATTTCGAAAGAAGTTTCCTATTCTTCCAAAGAAACCCATTTTACTATATGTAAAAATCTAATGTCCACCTAGTCTCTTACGTTTCCTTCTGAGTTCCATAGCATTCTTTAACTGGAGCTCATACATTCTATTTCTCCTCTGGTAGAAAACATACTCTGGGTCAACTCCTGTGTTCGCGTCATCTGCATAGAGTTGTTTATATCCCACTTCAGGGTTTGTATAAAACTCTTTCCATCTCATATTTGCATACCATGGTGGCAAACCTAACGCAGCGTCATTTGACATGGCAGTTTGCATTTGTACATCTGTTGGCACTTGACCATAGTTTGCCATTGCAGTTTGTATTCTAACTTCATTTGGAATATTCTCTGGGTTTGGTTGTCCAGGTTGTTGTGCATTCGCTAAGTTCTGTGCGTCCATTTAATATTAGATAAAAATATCTCTTACGAGTACATATGCTGAACATTTGCAGGCATTGGTTCATCTTCATATTCTCTGTACTTTTCTGCCACGTCAAATAAGTAAATGACACAATGGAAAAAACCTAAAACAAGTAGTCCTATTTCAAACCACATTTACTTACCAATAAAATTTCTTTGTTGTGACACTTTCTCCGGTTTATAGGACCTCTCTCATATTCTATCTTGTCATATATAAACTCATAGTCATGTATGTCCTCTAACCATCTCATAACACTTTCCAAACCACTTTTATCGGATGTAAAGTAAAAGCATGGATGGTTATGTAAAACGTCTAAAGTTTCTAAAGAGTCTCTCAAAGTCCAGTCTACTTGGTATTGAAAATCGCATGTGTTATAGAACGGCGGGTCCACTATAAAGAAAACATTTTCCTTGTCTTTATATTTTTCATACAACTCTGTCCAACGACATCTCACAAACTCTATACCCTCAATATATTTTTCTATGTTCTCTTTGAAAACATTTGTATAGTTAAGATATAAAACGTTTGACATAAGTGTTTCAATGTCATGAACTCTTATAGAACCACTATATAATAGTCTAGCAGATATACTATCCCAGTCAATATACTCTGCCTTTTTCAAAACCTCTCTCACAATATTTTTCTTATCTAATGGTATACGTTCCATCTTACCTATAGGTATCTTTTCTTTTAACTCTTTCAATATTTTGTTTGTGTCTGGTATATGTTTGAGACGGTTCATATAGTTGTCGAAGTCATTGCATATAATCTTTGAGTCAGGAAATACAGTATGGCACAAATGGGATATATAGAAACTTCCACCGAACAAATCTACAAATGTTAGACCATTCGGTAGTTTCTTAAGTTCTCTCAATAGAATATCTTTACATCTACTCTTATTTCCAAAGAAGGGTAACGGTGGTTTTGTAAAATTCATTTTATATACAATAAAAATGTTTTTTCCCTGAAAAGTGACAGATGTTTTATTGTGACTTCTTCGTAAAGACTTTGTTGAGATTTCTTCGTAAATGAGTGTAAATGACCAAAAAATAATGTTTATGTTAGAATGTTAGATCTAACACCTTTTCTAACATGTTTTCTAACATCGTAGAAAACTCATGAATTTCTTCGTAAAGACTTTGTTAAGACTTCTTCATCTAATTTCTCATGAACTTTCTTGTCTATGTTTTGTTAAGATTTCATCGTAAAGACTTTGTTGAGATTTCTTCGTAAATGACCCTAGTAGTATATTTTTGGTGTAAATTTCATGAAAATTCACGATGTTAGAAAACATGTTAGAAAAGGTGTTAGATCTAACATTCTAACATAAACATTATTTTTGGTGTAAATTTCATGAAAATTCACGATGTTAGAAAACATGTTAGAAAAGGTGTTAGATCTAACATTCTAACATAAACATTATTTTTGGTGTAAATTTCATGAAAATTCAAGAGGTGAGAAAAGAGGTTAGAAAAGAGGTGACATCTCACCTCTTCACCTAAATTATATTTTTGGGTCATTTACGCTCATTACGAAGAAGTCTTGACAAAACATTTACGAAGAAGTCTTGACAAAGTCTTTACGAAGAAGTCTTGACAAAACATTTACGAAGAAGTCTTGACAAAGTCTTTACGAAGAAGTCTTGACAAAACATTTACGAAGAAGTCTTGACAAAACATTTACGAAGAAGTCTTGACAAAACATTTATATAAAGAATAACAATTTTCCGAATAAAAACTTCATTTATACTCATTCATCCTCAGGGCTAGAAGGCACGAAGTGCCTGGGAGCCCCACTACCTTTTTTTTTTTTTTTTTTTTTTTTTTTTTTTTTTTTTTTTTTTTTTTTTTTTTTTTTTAAACGGAATTCAATATGGCATTCCAAACGGGAACCGCGGTTGGTTACCATGGATTTCCGTCACCGGTCACATTTTAAAGATTTTTAAAGCCTTATAAAAATATGCTTTGTAAATCATTTTTTGTAAATCGGCAAAAATTTGGTAATTTTCTTCAACTTAGAGATGTGAAAACTTAAATTTTATAATCCCTGGGATGCACTTTCTTCGATTTTTTTTAAATTTTTGGGATAAATTTTGACATCTTTTTTTTTGCTGGCGACCCCCCCGTTTAGGGCATCAAAAAAACATGTTGTTTCGTTTCAAGATCGGGATATGTTGTGAACCCGACTTCTTTCATTAATGAAGTGATTTCTTAAGTTGAATAAAAACAAATTTGATTGAAATTCATACAAAATTTCTTTTTATCATTATTATTTAAGATGCTTTTTTATGTTGAATTGTTAATTTTTTTATTTCCACCTGGGATATTTTGAATTGGGCTAGCCCAATCCCACCTCTCAATTTTCTCTCAATTGGGCAATGGGGATCCCATATAAAATGTATTGTAACAAAATTTTACATGCATAATATAGTACAATTAAACAACATTCTAAAAATATTAAATTCACATCATTTACTTGAAGATTTTATATTTTCAACAAAAATTAATACAATAATTACATTAAATTGAGGAGATTTATAATATTTATTATAAATTAAAATATTATTACTCATTAATTTGTTGAAATATTGCATTTTAGTGGTAAAAATTAAAATTTAAGTTTACATGGAGAAAAAAAATTTTTAAATTCCAAAAAAAAATTCAATTGGGATAACGATAGGGACAAAAATTTAGAATCCCCATATGCTTGGGATAAAATCACATGACTACTTCAACTAATAAATCTGCGAATAGCATTTATAATACAAGAACAATCTTTTAAAATGCGTTTGATTCATTTTTGTATAATTTCATATAGGCACATATATTCTTCCGGGACTTTCCGTGATTTTACCGTAAAATCATTAGTTTACACCAATTTTTCCGTATTTTGAATAGTTTACTGCACTTTTTCCGTAAAATTGAGTTACGGGAATCCGCAAAATTTCCGGACCTCATTTTTCATAGAATATAATAATAATATTTGATAAAAAGATATATTATTTATATTTTTGATTTTTGAATTACGGAAAAAGTGAATTGTTAACTTGATTTTTTTATATGGTTAATTTTTCAAACGATATTATGAAGATCTAAAATATTAAAAGTAAAAAATTGAATTACGGAAAAAGTGAGGTCAAAAGTGAAATAAATTTGCAGAACAATTTTCATTGAAATAAGACATTGAGTATCACACTTTAGTGAATCAACATCTATAAGAATGAAGTGTTTTGAAGCTGAAATAATATTGAATAGAAATTAATTTTTTCTGAAATTTTGAATGAAATTATGGGAAATAAAAAAATTACTAAATATTGTATTCATACAAATATATTATTTTAAAGGAAAAATAGATGCTGATAGAAACGATGAAAAATTTTGAAAACTTTACAATTAATTTATGTTCGTTAACCACAGAGCTTGCAATCCAAAGCTCACGTTAGACTACAAGAGTCATGAAGTCTCATACTAAGGGATATCCAACATATATTTTAATAATCTAATGTTTGTGACAAATATTCAACATAAAATTAAGTTTTCGTTTCGTTACAAGGCATTCATACTTTGGAGATATCATATTTAATGTACAGAAAAGTTAATATTAAACAATACATGCTAAAGAATTAATAAATAAGATAATAAAATAAATTTATACGTAATTACTTTCATTTAATATGCTTTATGCTGTATAATATTGATTAAGAGGCATTAAAAGGTTCCATAGTCTGCTTTTATAGGCAAGATTTTTGATAAAAATTTTAAATTTTGAAAAATGATGAGAAAAGGGAAAAAAAGGTAAATGAGAGCAAGAGGAGGGAAAAAAAAGAAAAAGAAAAGAAAGGGAAGGGAAAAATAAAAGAAAGCAGGACATATAAAAATTTAGATGCGCATTCTTAATGCCGAGGCGGCTTGCCGCCGAGGCGCGATTTTTTTAGGCCTCTACGGTAACCCGGCAATGTTTTTTTAAATCTTGTACAGCCCTAGAATTCAAAGCCTACTGATTCTATTTATCTTATTTCAATCCCTTAGATCATATACAACAAAATAATCTGGAAATTTAATATTTTTGACATTTATCTCAATTCAAATAAATGATATCTCTCTTAATTATTCAACTGACAGAATTGAACCAGGGAAGTGTTCATTATGAAATACTTATGGAGGAGAACAAGAAATATATTGAAACAATGGATAAAATATACAAAATATATTCAGATGAAAAAAACACAACTAATGAATTATACAATGAAATCAAGGATAACTTAATTGACCCTGGATGTTTTACCCCAGAAAAAATGATATATATATTATGTGATGTTGGTGAACTTAGACTAAGATTTCGTCATGCGTATATTGAGTTAATGCAGAGAATATATGAAGAATATCAATGTATTCACGATTCAATAATCAAATATCTTTCAAGCTATGATAGTGAGCTTAACAATACAGTTGATGAAGCAATAATAAATGATGACGAAGAAGCATTTATGAAATTCATGAACTTTGAGATAATTGATATTGATGGTTTGTTTAAAGACTGTTGTTTATATGGAGCAGAAAATATTTTCAAATTATTAAGAACAAAATATAATATGATAATTACCAAAGAATGTCTTGATGCTTCATTTAAAGGGAACAATTCATATATCATAAATGAATGTTTGAAAAGACAAAATCCTGATAAATCTACAATGAAAGCAGCAATTGAATCTCATAATATTTATAATGTTATTAAATTGAGCAATGAATACAACATAGAAATTAGTTATATTTATTGTGAAATTTATTATAATCTTCATGCATTACTTATTTATTTAAATCAAACTAATGATTTCCACTCATGTTTGTTTTCATCTCCAAGTTTTGGAATTCTTTCTCTTTGTAAATACCTGCTATCGAATGACACAATTAATAATTATTATACTGTCCATAATGCAATAAATGAAAATCAAATGGAAATTGCAAAATACTTGATTTTGAATGATACTGATATTATTCATATGACTATGGACAAATATGGAACTCTACTTGATATCGCTGTCACACACAACGCAACTGATTTGGTGGAATTACTTGTCTCACTTGGGGCCGATATCAATATCAAAGGTCAAAATATGCATAAATTATCTTTATTACACTTTGCATCCATATATAATAATAAAAAAGTCGTTGAAATTCTCATTTCAAATGGGGCAGAAATAGATGAAAATATGAATAGCGACAGTACCACACCTCTTCATGCAGCATTGACGTTTAATAATAAAGAAATTGCCCAATATCTTATTTCACATGGTGCAAACATCCACAAAAAAAGAAAAATATGAAAATAATGCTCTTATTTGTGCATTATATAACTATAACGATGTGCTTATAGAAACATATATTGCTAACTTAAAGTATTTGATACGTTATCCTAGTGATTTTCCAATTTATTTTAATACGGAACCCAAAAACGGTGATCTAATTGAAATTCTTATTTCAAATGGGGCAAACATCAGTGAGAAAAATAATCAAGGGAATACACCTCTACATATAGCAGCATTATTCGCTACTAAAGAGATCGTTGAAACATTAATTTCGCATGGCGCCGAAATAAATTCTTTGAATAAAAATGGTCAGACTCCTCTTGATATTGCCCTTATGCGTGCTAAGAATGAACAAGAAGAAATTGAAAAATTGAAACAAGATAAAGAAGATTTTGAATTAGAAAATAACACAAGGGACCTCAATTATATACAAAAGATAAAAGATATTGGAGATCTCTTAATATTGCATGGTGGGAAAACAAATTATAATGGAACTTTCAAAACATCAAAATATGATAAAGAGGTATGGATATATTTCTCTTCTCAAACCCTAAAAAACACAACTTTATTGTTGATGTAATTATGGGAATTTGTATCATTTTATCGACTATATTCTACACGAAAATAACTAATCGTTATATTTTGATGTTTTTGCAAGCTATAATATGGATATTTTTTGGAATCATTGCCATTGATCTGATTAAATTCATTACTGAAAGATAAAGCATTTCAGGGAGCATTTTTCGACTCCTTTATAATAATTAATTTAAAATATTTCAGTATGGGATATCAGTTACCCCATATAATCTCCTTATTTTGATAGGATGCAAATTATCAAAATTCTTTTTCCTTTATTTGCATGCACAATGAAGAATGTAACATATTCGTATATAATATATGAGATTCGATTTCTTCCGCAAATTAGATCAATATTGTCATCTCAAAATCGCAGTTGAAACGCTATCAATGATATATCGGATGTTTCTATCTTTTAAACAAATGAATATGCTTTTGGCGCCATATTTTTAAGGTATTTCCAAAATTATGAATAATTATGTAAAGAATCTTATATCAAAAACGTGTGTACATTGTCAGCACATAAATTACACCATGTAGCTTTTTATTTATTTATAAGATATTGTTTTTTCATTCAAAAAAAAATTTGACAATAAGAAAAAAATTTCTGTTAGATGAGTACTTCGTTTTCTTCCCCACGGAAGAGGGCACCGTCAGCATCGCCCGCTTCTCCTAAAGGATCTCCAAACAAGTACGCAATTTATGAGAAGTGTATTCAACAGTACCAAACTCAAATTAAATCATTAACGGATCAAGTCCAAGATCTTGAAGCTAGACTATCATCACCAACTAAGACTGATACTTCATTAGTCAAAACATGCAATGATTTGCAAAAAGATAGATCTAAATTAACAGAACAAATTGCCGCGCTTTCAAAGAAGAACCAGGATCTCTCGGCGAAACTAGAAATGTTTACGCACGACACAACTGAAGATATTTTACCACGTGCGGATTCACCAAGACGCTCCGTTCGCCGTTATGAAGATGATGAAGAAAATACAAGTCAAATGAAGTTCGAAATGGAATCTCTCCAGCGTGAAAATAAAGTTCTTACTCAGAAAATCGAGAAATTGTCCCATTCACTTCAAAATAAAAAGAATCGTGAGAAAAAACTTGTCGAAAATTATCAGCAAGCCTCCCAAAAGTTCCGCGATCTTCGTGCATCGTATGAGCAAACTACAGAGAACTACAAGAAGCTTTTAGAATCAAAGAAAGACGATGATATTCGTAACGTCGAAATTATGAAGCAACAGATCGCATTAAACGACGAAAAGCATATGCTCGAAAAGGAAAATACAGAATTGAAGTCTAAACTCGAAAAACTTGAACAAACGAATTTGAAGCTTGTTTCTGAGAATATGGCTTTAGAAAACAAATTTACGGAATGCGCTAAAGGTTACCAAGCTCTTAAGAAGGAATATGATCAGTTAGAAAGCGCTCATTCTGAAATCAACGATAAATCCGAAGAACAACAGAAGGAGGTCGAACTTCTTAAGGCCAATATCGTCAAGGTCATGAAAATACAAAAGCGCACCGAAAAGAACCTTTCAAAAGCTCAAGATAAGTGTAATCAACAAGAACAGCTTCTTAAGTCTTTTAACCAAGAGAAAGAGAATATTACGAAGCAACTACAAGAATGTACGGGATTATTAGACAAATCCTATACAAGATTGAAAGATTTGGAATCAAATAACAAAGAATTATCAAGAGTTAACAAGAAACTTACACAAGAAAATGAAGATCTTCGTGGTGTTAACAAGAACCTCAAGGCTGCTTCTCAAATTTCCCAATCTAAAGACTTCCAAATTTCAAAGTTAAATGAAACGATCAATTCTCTCCGTTCTGAGCTCGATGATACAGCATCGAAGATCAAAGACTCCCAGAACGATGCTACAGACCTCAGATCCCAACTTGCCCAGCTTCAAGAAGAGAAATTTGAATTAGAAAACCGTTGCAAAGAATACGAACAAGAATTGAAGGCTGCAAACGACAAGATCAGCAAATCCAAGGAGATGTCCCAAAATATCAATAGCATGCAAAGCGATCTGAAAGAATTGAACAAATTAAAGTCCGAAAACGTCGAATTGAAGTCCAAACTCGAAATCCACTCCCAAAAGTCCTTCAACAGAATCCAATTCGAGGAACTCCGCCAAGAAAACAACGAACTTAGAGAGACAATCAGAATTGCCGAGGAAGAAGAGCAAAACGACACTGTCCATTCTAATCTCTTGAATGCAATTAAGGAGTACTACGATGAAAATGAAGAATTAAGAAAGGTAAACAACAAATTGACCAAACAATTGAAAGATCTTTCATCGCAATTGGTCAGAGCTCAACACCAGAACATGCAGTTGACTGACATTATCAATAAGTCGCAGTTGGAAGAGGAAGAACTCGATTCCGACGAAGAATGTGAAAAATTATTGAAATCTCCAAAAGTTAAAACAGTTTTGAACGAGTTGAACTCATCTCTTCTTGAGAACAAGGAGCTCAGAAGACAAGTTAAAGAGCTCAAACAAGAAAACGAGCAACTCAAGCAGAATTCGAGATTAAATGACGAAGAAGAATCTCCAGAAGTCAAATTATCCGAAGAAGAAGACCAAATATTTGAAGAAGACTTCCCAGAAGTCGAACTAGATGAATCAAATAATTCTCCTGAAGAAAAAAGTGACAGTGAATTAATTCCAATCAAAATTGAACCTCAATTCATCTACAACAAGATCATTGATGACGAGGAGTCCAACGCTGAATCAGACGACAACCTAGAAGAAGTCAAATCCGAAGAAGAAGACGCCAACCTCGAAGAAAACAATAATTCTGAAAATTCTGAAGAAAATAATAATTCTGAAGAAAATAATTCAGAAGGCTCAGAAAATTCTGAGGAAAATAATAATTCTGAGGAAAATAATTCAGAGCACTCAGAAAATTCTGAGGAAGATATTTCTGAAGAAGAAAAGACTAAGAATGATTTGATACAGCAGATTGGTGATTTGCAGAAGAAAGTTTATTTCTTGAACAATGGCATAAAGAGCCAAGAAGAGCAAAAAGATGTTTTGCACAAAGAAAACAACCAAATCATCGAACACAACGAGAAGTTGAACAGTGCTGTAGAGACATTGAAGAGAGAGTTGTCAACACTCAACCTAGAAAACGAGAAAATCATTGAAGACAACGAAAACAAAGACAAAGAAATCGAGAGACTCAAAGAAGAAATTGAGAAATTGAAGAATCACGAGATGAATTTAGACGAATTGGAGAAAGAAATCAAATCATTGGAACAAGAAAATGATGACGACGAAGTCAACTACTTGAAGAAAGAAACAGAAGACCTCGAGAAAATGGCAAAAGAAGTAATTTTCAGAAACGAAAAAATCCAACTCGAACAAAAAATCAGAGATTTGGAAGAAGAAAACCGTTTATTAATTGAAAATTACCAAAACGGCCACGAGGAAGAGAACTTGGACAGCTTAGAAGCCCAAATGACAGAACTCATGGAAATGAACCAAAAACTGTCAAGAGAATTAGATGAAGTCATTTCCAAGAAAGAAAACGAAAGTTCTATCGAAGTTGAAGAACTTAAAAACGCATTCACAGAGGCAAACAAGCAAAAAGAACAAGTCCTCAAGCAGTACAACACATTAAAGGCTACATATAGTTTGCTATTAACTCAATATAATGATTTGAAAGATCAAAATAACTTTGAAAAAGTGACAGAAACAGAAACCTCCGAAATCCAATCTCTTAAGGAAGAAAATGAGAAACTCAAGGCATACAACAAATCCCTTGAACTCAAATTCATGAATGATTCTGATAATGTTAGATTTGCTCACGAAGAAACAGAAAAATTGAAACAAAAAGTAACAAATTATGAAGAAAAGATCAAAACATTAGAGAAAGAAAAGAAAGAACACGAAACAGAGGAACAGAGATTGTCTGGTAAGCTTAAAGAGTTCATTAAGCAAGAAGAAGATTTCGGTGTTTTGCTTGGAAACTACAAGAAATTAAATGAAGAAAAAACAAACTTAGAAAAATCATTGAATAAATTGAATGATGATTTACAAAAAGTGACAAAAGAAAACGAGAAGAACAAAATAATTATTTCAAACAGAGAAACAGAAATATCAATGTACCAGCATGCAAACACTGCTCAACAAAATGATTTGGCCCGCGAAAATCAACAACTTCAAAATCAAGTCACTTCACTTCAAAAAGAGGTCACTTCACTTCAGGACAAAGTCACTTCACTTCAGACATCTAATGGTGATAATTCCGATGCAGAGGACACAATCAATGGTTTGGAGGCAGAAATAACCGATTTACAACAGAAATTTGACAATTTGACAGAAGATTTCGAAGAAGAAAAGAGTTCTCACGAAAAAGACGTCGAAGAATTGTCACAAACCATTGAAGGACTCAACAAACTCTGTGAAGAACAGCACAACACCATTTCTCAACTCACTCTGAAGGCTTCTCAACTCCAATCCGAAATCGACCAACTTAAACCATCTGACTCCTCAAAGCCAAAACCAAACTACTCCGTTTTCGTCAAACTCGACCTCGAAAAACCAGAACAACCAAACTTTAACGAGGAAGAAAACTTAAACGAACAAAATGAAGAAGAGAATAAAGAAGAGGAAGAAGAGAATAAAGAAGAGGAAGAAAATCAAAATAATGAAGAGGAAGATGATGATAAATTTTCATGAATTTTTCACCGAAATAAAATAAAGTTAGTTTTATTTTATTTATTTTTTGTATAAAAGATATGATTTCAGGGATTTTTTTTTGACGAAGTGGTAAACCTTCACTTCGTCAAAAATAACAGTTATCTAATGAAAAGATGGTCATTTTTCAGCAAAAATAATTTTTTAGGTGAAGAGTGAGATCTCACGTTTTTTTCACCTGTTTTCTCACCTCTTGAATTTTCATGAATTTTCCCGAAATAAAAAATAAAGTTAGTTTTATTTTTTTTATTTTTTTATTTTTTTATTTTGTATAAAAAAATAAAATGTCAACAATCGGCACAACAACAATTCAAACAACAGCACCAAACTCTTTAGTCATGAATCCAACATCTATGTTAGTAGAGATGAAAAGCTTCATTCCTTCTTCATATACTTTTGAAACAAGAAATCCAGAAGATAAAGCAAGAACTTTTAACATGTAATTTAGACTGTAGTGCGAAAGATGAAACAAATGAACAGTATCTTTATGAAATGCAGGACCTCATCGACCATTTACCCAAATTGCCTGAAATCCAACAACAAAACTCACTATTCCTGAATTCGACGAAATTGAAGTCAAAGCAACTGCCTCAGTAGAAATAAAGAAGTTCATACGAAAGGTAAACTATGAGTTTCTAGGATTTCATTGCAACCATAAGTTTATGGACAAAGATTGCGACATGGTATATAAGAATGTTTCTGACATATATAAATCTGAAGAATTTAAGACCTACGACAAACTTTGTTTCGTTAGTTGCTGAATGTGTATGGCAGATAAGAGATAAAGATAGAAGAGGCAAAGTATGGAACAAAACATAGAAACCCGCTATGTTTGAGATGAAGAGAGCAATTGACGCTTTTAGTTGTTTTAGCTGGTAAGGTTTCAGAAATATAACGCAAAATGAACCCGCAATGTTCTAAATGTAAAGCAGCAATGAGGAGATATAACTACTCCGTCAAAGAGATAGAAAGAATGAGAAACGACTATGCAGATTTAAAGAAAGAAGCAGAAAAACCAGCAGAAAATAAAATGGACATGTTAGAATTTCTGAACAAAAACTATCCAACAGCAGAAGATTTCCTTCTATCTGACGTCAAGAAGAAATATAAAGAAACCTTCGGCATAGTTAAAACATTCGATGTACTAAAAGAAGAAATAGAAGCTACAAAACTGTTTAGGATTTCAAATATACATCGTACAATTCATGTAAAACGCTTGTGAAAAAACAGGTGAAAAAACAGGTGAGAAAACGGGTGAGATCTCACCACTTCACCTAAAATATATTTTTGCTGAATTCAGCACAAAATTCTGAGTAAAATAATTTTTAGGGCTTGTGTCAAACCGTTGAGTTTTCACAAAATTCCAAAAATAACGTTTACCATGTAAAACACTTATAAAATAACTGAGGTGAAAAAACAGGTGAGAAAACGGGTGAGATCTCACCTCTTCACCTAAACATTATTTTTGCTGAATTCAGCACAAAATTCTGAGTAAAATGGCATATGCTTGCTTCCCTCGGAAAACCGAGAGAAGAGATTCCGTACGAAAACAGTGAAGAACAGCGAGTAAGTAAAAAAACCCAGTCGCCAAAACTCTATGAAAACAGTGAAAAATAACAGAGTATTTTGACAACTTCAAAACAGTTAGGGTAGATGACACTTTTTCTATTAAACCGTTTTGACATTTCTCATGAGTGAGTATAGTTCTGCCGAACCATTGGAAGAGAAGAAGTACCCTTGCTGGCAAAAGACAAAAATGTTGCCTTAGTTGTCATTGCAATTGTACTCGTAATTTGAATTCATTGTACTTCTCTTCACGTACCTAAAACTCAAGGACGGCATATGCTTTAAGAAGCTACCATCTTACTAAGACTAAACACTTACATTTTTCAAGCTTGACTTTTTCAATTTGAACTTTGTTTGCGTAGATATGAATTCTGAAAGAAGTATGAGGGTCTTGTATGACTTTATACTTCTCCCATAGTTCATATCTGTCAAACTTACCTGCCATGGACTCTTTCATAAGTTCCATGAAATCGTCTTCGGACAATCCGGGAAAAGTATAATGTCAGTAAGTATTCTTTTAACATCCTTACTTAAACTCTTGGCTGTCTGTACACATATTACGACTGAGATGTTAAAGTGTCTGAGCTTCTTAAGAATTCGACACATATCTTGTTCTCTATTCTTAAGCAAAGGATGAGAAGCAAAGTCATCTAAGATAAGAAGACATCTATGAGGGTAAGTCATCCAATCGTAAGATGCAATTTCTTCGAAATGTATTCTATCTCTTTCTGTTTGTTTCTGAAGTGTTTCTTCTCTAATATTCTCTGCATTTCCTCATTTGGGTCTTTAAACTTAGAATTTATATACTCATTTATAGCATTATACTTCAAACTCTTCTTTGGTACTTCTTTATCCAATCTAACAACTCAGTATCCTTTATACATACTAACTTAGACTTCTTTATAATATCTTTGAAACGAATTGACGGTTTGGTCAAATTGACCAGAAGTACTACAAATGACAACTAACCATAGAATGGGTTCTTCTCATCTAGTTCTTGTTGTTGTGCAGCCATTTTAAGATAAGTGAAAGTCTTACCCGACCCAGGTGGTGCAATTAGACCTGTTATACCATTCTGAGCAAAATAAGAACTTGTGTATAGGCTTTATCTGAGCATTTCTAATCTTCCTTGTTCTTTGTTTTAAAACATTCTCAAATTTTTTTTGTCAATGTCAGCAAACTTTTTTTCTAACATATTTTTAGAAAAATTAAAAGTTTTTATCTTTTAGAAAATGTCATAGCGATTTCGCTATCTATATTCGAGACAGCTTTTCGACAGCAAAACATCTGGTCGGGACCTATAAAAATCATTACATAGTGTAATACAAGAAGAGTGAATTTGTTCTAAAGTTCTGTTTCTGGGAATATGACAAGAACCATAAAATTAAGCAGAGCGTCCTTAAAATTTGTCAATGACAGACTTGTTGACGAGAGTGACGCGATTGGAAAGTGAAGTCCAACAAAGTTCTTAGAATGCAAAGAAGACACATGCGCTGTTCTTGAAGATGAAAGAAAACAGAATAGAAGAGCTATTAAAGGACAAAGAACTTTTAACATAAATATAGTTGCCGCCAAATTTGACATAACTCCACCAGAAAAGAAGAAGAAAGAAAAGAAAGAAAAGAAAGTAGAAGAAAGAGAAGAGAATCTGAACAGTTCCAGAGAAAAAGAAATTGTGACATGTAAAAATAAATTTTAATTTTTAGAACATTTCTGGTCAATGTCAATGTCTCTTTCCTCTTAGAGCAAACACGGGCTTAGACTCTAAAATCTTTTTACCCAATTTACCTTGAACTTCAACTATCTAAGAAGATCATAATATTCATAGTCGTCTGCTTTTTGGTTCATAGGTTTAACAAGTTTGTATGCTTTGCCTTCTTAAGGTTTGAAAACTTCTGTCAAAACTTTTCTTTGACTGCTAACAAACTTCTATGTCTAAGTCTTTCAAATTTCGCACCATTTTTAGTCACAATAGCAAACTTAACTGTTCGATGTTCCAACTTTGCTGAATGAAGACTTTTCAAAATGGTAGAAGTAAACATTTTCAAATAGTGTAATGGGTCTTCTTCTTCTTTAAGTCCTGAACTGTACTTGTTTACTGAGATGAATTTTGCCATCTTTTTCTAATCGGATAAAAAAATAATTTTTTTTAAAATTTACTCATAAAATTTTTTCTTGTATATAACCATTCTGTACGTCTAAAAGACTTTTGACATTTGCCAAAGAATGTTTCGTTTAGACGCTGTCATAAACCATATTCTTGACAATATTGTTTATACGAATCGTACAATGACCTTTCATCTAAACACTCAAGTCAGTTTCTCTATGAACAGTTCATATCCACTTCTGTTTGCTTCTAACATGTTTGTCTCTCTTCGGTATGTGGAAATTTGTCTTGGATTGAACTTTGAAATATCTAATGTCATAAAATATGAGACAAGTGGTTGTAAAAGTCAGATGTCAAAGTTTCTGCTAAGTCGTCAAAATATTCTGTATCTTGCATATGAGAATCTGACGTTCTGACAACTACAATACTTTCTGTCAGAACTTTCTACTTCATCGGAACAGAATTTTGAAACCATAATGAAGTTTGCAACATTTCACAAACTCTTGGTCTTTATACTTTCTTTCAACAACTCCAACTTTGTCTGTTAAGACTCTTCAAAGCATCTGATTTCAAAACTTTTGTTGTATCTATACTTTGAAGTTCATTGCAAACTATAAGTTTCATATTCTCTTATTGAGAATTAAACTTGCCACAGATGTTTTCTAAGTTTGTATTTCGGGTTCGAATAGCCTTCTAACAGTTTGCACAAAATAATCGTGTAAAGAATGTGTTACTTACCAGTTCCTTGTTTCCAATTATAATGAGAGCATTTCATTTTTAGCACTGGATGTTGTAAGTGTTTTGCAAACAACATAAGATATACTCATAGACTTTTTCGTTTCCATTGCATATAATTTCTTTGACATGGTCTAACCAAGCTTCTATAATATTTTCTTTCCATTCTACTTGTCATATTTATATACTGAAGATAGAATAGAAGTTTGGAGAAGGTGTATAGAACTTTATACCTCGAACTGAAAAATTTCTAACTTTGACAAATAAGATATCCAAGCATCTAACATCTTCATGCCAACTTGTACAACTTTATTTTCTTAAGTTTCTGTCTACATTCTTGTCTGAAACTATTGTCGCTTTAGTTGTATAGACTACATCCATTCTTTCATAACATAACATCTGGGCAGAGTCGACATAAATGACTAAACGTTTCAAATTCTCGACTGCTTTGTTATAGTCTCTAAATGGACACATATTTCTGAATGCTGGGAAGTCATAAAAATCTGAAACATCTATTCTGTACATTTTTATAAAAATAAAAAATATATTTTTTTTACTTGACTTTGTTGTTGCA